TTTCTTCTAAGTGCACCCTAATGTTAAGGAGTAACTAAATATGTATTAGTGTGAGTAAAATTCCAACAAGAAGAATTTTATGTATAACATAGTAAGATGATATTTGGGGCTTCCCAGGTGGCGCCAGTGGTAAAGAACCCACCTGCCAATGCAGGAGACATAAGAGACGCGGGTTTTATCCCTAGGTTGGGAAGATCCTCTAAAGGAGGGCGTGGCAACCCACTTCAGTATTCTTGCCTGGAAAATCCCCATGGACTCGCCATGGAGCCTGGCAGGCTACAGGGCCATAGGGTCACAAAGAGTCAGACACGACTGAAGCAACTTAGAATGCACGTACATGACGCTAATCTGGACAGTAACATGGTGTCTGGACACAAGACCTGTTTCACTGTCTACTATCCTAATATATGGGAGAACCTCCAGACTATAATGCTGATGTCAGTTACTTATAGGTGAGTAATGCAGAATGAAAAGAGACTGATGCCACCTTCCCTACAGATGGGAAATCAATGGGCATCCCCGCCCCGCCACCCCCCAACACACACACACCGCCCCCGTCTGATGAACGAGAGACAGAGAGAGAGAGAGAAACGATTCTGCCAATTGAGACAGAGGGAACCTGGGTTGGGGGTGGGGAGAGCAGCAGCTTTGAAGCAGACTTTTACAGGCAAAGTCAAGTGAAAACAGCAGAAAAGTTCCTGGACACGGTCCTTTAAGAAACACAAATGAGTAGGAAGAAAGGTCAGAGCAGTGGTTCAAAGGAATCAGAACACACAGCTGCTGCTGCCCAAGGCTGCGGGCCGGTACCACTCACGAATGCCAAGGTTGGGGGCAAGACCCGGCAGCAGGAGCCACTAGCTGCTCGGGAGCACCAGGTCCTCCCTCCACTCAGTTCCTGGCCTCTCAGGGTCAAAAAGCCCCAACTCTGCAGTCCCAGAGAGAAATGCTAGAACAGTGACAGTCACAAAACCAAAGGAAAGAGAAGAGCAAAGGAAACAGGCTGATTAGTTACTTAACTCAGTTTTCATTTTCTGAATTTGAAATGTAATTCCTGGCTATAAAAAGGAGAGTGTGGCTGCTAGATAAGAGAAAGCCATCTGCTTGGAATAAGAACCTCTAGTTGGGTTGAAATTTCTTAAACATTTGAATCTACAGGGGAAGAACATTTCACATTTATTCACCTCATGGAGTCTGAGTGCTACCTCTATTTCTCTTTCCATCACAACATTATAGTTTTTGCAGATAAAGGGGTTTTAAAGTCTCATCTCCCTTCCCTAAGTAAGGTTCTGGGCCAGACAAAGGCTGAATTGAGCCTACTGCATTTCTGGGCAGGAGGCATAGATGGGATGTCTCCAACCTGAGGTTATGGTAAGTGTCGTCAAGGTACAAACATCACAGCTGTGTTCTCAGGAGGACCAAGTCTGAGTGGGGGTCTTGGATTTTGAGATCATTTCCTTTGCCTGAGTAGGCTGCTTGCATACACTAAAAGGAGCCAGAATGGAATGCTGAAGGTCACCCCAACAAGCTTCAGAAGAGAAAAGATTTCACCACACACACACACACCCATGCACAATTCATAAGGAAGAGCTTGAAGCAGTTTCACAAACTGAACACTCACGGGCCCAGACCAAGAATCATAAGATGTCTGCACCAGATGGGCCCCTTTCCTCAACGGTAATCACTATCTTGTGGAGAAGGGCATGGTAACCCACTCCAGTACTCTTGCCTGGAGAACCCTGTGGATAGATGAAGCTGGCGGGCTGCGGTCCACGGGGTCACAAAGAGTTAGACACGACTGAAGCAGCTGAGCACCATCACTGTCCTGACTTCTTGCTTTGCTTGTTTTGAACTTGATGTACCTGGACTCATACAGTGTGTACTCTGGGGTCTGGTTTCTCTCCCCGCTGTGTCTGTGTGTGGAGCCGTCATTCATTCACTCTCACGCTGTACAGCAGCCCACCGAGTGCCTACACCACATATTTATCTGTTCATCCTCCAGCTGATGGTACTGAATAGTTTCTAGTTTTTCAGCTACTTTTAATAGTGTTGCTACAAATACTCTCATACATTTTCCTTCTAACACATGCATGCATTTCTGTTAAGTATGTAACTAGAAGTAAAACTGTCAGGCCACAAAGTATATTTATACATTCAACTTTAAAAGATTCTGCCTATCTTATCACATTCAGATTGCTATAATAAAAATATCACAGACCGGGTGGCTTAAACAACACACACTAATTTCTCACTGTTCTGGGGGTTGGGACATCTAAGATCAAGGTGATAGCAGATTCAATGCCTAGTGAGGGCCCGTTTCCTGGTTCAGGGATGACACCTTCCTGCAGGATCCTCATATGGTGATGAGAAAGCTCTCTGGGCTCTCTTCCTATAAGGGCACTAATCTCATTCATAAGGACTACACCCTGATGGCCCAATCACCTCCCAAAGGCCCCACTTCCTGAGATCATCACATTAGGGATCAGGATTTCAACACACGAGTTTGAGGGGGAAACAAACATTCAGTCCATAACTCTGAATGTATGCCTTATGAGACCCAGGCTTGATGATATATTTCTCACTCCAGGTCAGCCTATCAGAAATGCAATATCCTCCGAAGTAACTCATGGCTCCTTATGTACTAGTGGGCTACCTTATACTGGGGAAGCTCAGAAATTGAGGCTACTATGAATGAGGATATTGAATAAAGGCATGAGGAAAACTGTGGGCAAGGAATGTCATCAGTAGAAATGGGTGTCACAATTACAATACTTCTTCTGGTCCCAGTTGATAGGTCTTATTTGGTTGTGAGTGAACATCGAATGGAATATGAACTTGAAAAATGTTGAGTAGACCCTCCAAAGACACAGACACACACTGAGGGCCAGCACTGTCCATTCACATGGATAGAAATGGAATGGTGATGGCTCAAGTTTCACAGCCATGGGAGGGGAGGTCAGGCGGCAAGCCTCACGTGCTGATGTTCAGTGAACTGTGTGGGTAGCGCATTTGGGCTGCATTCTCTTAAGCCACCTATACCTGCCCATGGCTTGGGCACAGGTGTCATAGACATCGTGTGGGATGGGGGTCACACAGAAGTCCTCAAACATCGCATTTAGGTTTGAACAGACCACAGAGGCCAGACAGGGGCGTGGATGCTTGGACATAAGCTAAGTCTTTGGGGGTAGAACATCTCCTGTTCAGATGAGGATAGAGCTTTCCATTCCCACTGAGGGGTGACTGAAGGTTCTGGGTCTTTTAGTATCACTATGCCTAGAGGTTACCTGTCACTGATAACACACTGTTAATTTTAACTGAGTCTGAATGATTATGCAGCATCTGACCCAGAATTTCACAGCTCAATAATCAACTCCATCCCCCTCTCTTCAGTATTCTCAAATCTGGAACAGCAGAAAACACCTACATGGTGGTTCTGAGCACCTAGTATAAATGGCAGGCAAAGTTGAACACCTGAAGAAACCAGATGTCCAATTTTCTTGGCAGTGTCTTTTGCTGAGTATAGATTTTTAATTTTAATTAAGCCTAGCTTATCGATTCTTTCTTTCAGAGGTGTGCCTTTGGTATTGCATCAAAAAGGTCATTGCCAAACTAAGGGCATCTAAGTCTTCTCCAGTGTTATCTTGTAGGAGTTTTATAGTTTCACATTTCATATTTAGGTCTGTGGTCCATTTGAGTTAATTTTTGTCCTTTCCCTTCTGAGGGCATCAGTGATTGGGGTGGACAAGTTGGACATGTGAGAGGAACTTGGTAAATATTAGACATTCTAGGAAATTTTGGATTGTCCCTGAGGACTCCTGTTCTAGAACTGCCAGCACCTTTGTGGGCACAACACAGGCATGTGCTGAAACTGGAGTCCAGGGATTCTAGAATGTACCCCTCTTGGGGTTGGCATGGAGACTGCTGGTATAAGTTTTCCAAGACCATGTGTGTAAGGGAGATTGGAGTTCTGGACTGTATAGGCCTGGGTTGGGGAAATGAATGAGGATTCTACTACGCAACAACCCTTCTGCCCAGCAGAGATTCTTACTGCTAGCAGATGGCTGGGGCACTCACAGGCCAAATGACATGGCTTATTGGAACCTGGCAGGGACATGTCTGGAAGTCTATCATCCATATTCCACACAAGCTTCCAGGTATGGCTGAGGTGCTCAGGCCTCAGAGCGTAGCTCCAGAAGGCCCTGGGACTGAGGAATGATACAGTATATAATATCACCATTATCCAAGGTGACAACCTCAGATGACAGCCATGTTGAAGCTGCAGCGACTCTGGCCAAAGTGGGCTCCAGAGACAAGAGAGAGAAGCTAAGAAACCCCTGACACAGCTGATGCCTCTATTTGTACAGAGCCTTGGTTTCAGACTTGAAAGGAATGTATACTATAATAGCGGGGCGAACTTACAGGCCTTGGGCCCCACGCCAATAACATGTTTGGAATGTGGCTCCTCTGTCTTTGTGTCTGAATACACCCTTGGCAGATGGCATATTCTGGGAAATGATGTGATGGGGAGGCGGTGGCCATGGTGGTGCCACAGGGCCATGCAGGAAAATTGACATGAAATCATCAGTGACAGTTTTAAGGTCTCTACCAAGTAAAAAACAACCCACTAGAGTACTGCCTCTTAAAAAGATCCACTGCCATCCTTCACATTGCCAGGATGACACGAGTCCTTCCCTTTAGGTCTGTGGTCCACCTGAGTTAATATTTGTCCTTTCCCTTCTGAGGGGGTCAGTGATCGGGGTGGACAAGTTGGGCATGTGAGAGGAACTTGGTAAATACTAGACATCCTAGGCTAAGTCCTATGGCCATGGCCCACTCATGATACGAGCACGGGCTCAGGCTCCTGGGACCCCAGCGGTGGGGCATTTCCAGAGTGAGCAGCGCACACAGGAGCTGTTCCTCATGATTTTTTTAAGGACAAACAAAGGAAGATAACATAATAGAAGCACGTTTTTCAACCCAAGAAACTAGAGACTGATTTTTACCTTCTGAACCAAGTAGACACTCGTAGCTCTCTCAGCAGCCACTTTATCCAGACTGGATCCTTCAGGAACAAAGTAACTGACATCAGCAATGTGCACGCCCACTTCAAAGTTGCCTGTAAATGCACAAGAAGGTTGATCAGCCTGGAACCGAAGGCCAGGGTGACCCCTCCTGGGAATCTACCCCGAGAAGGCAGGTTACTCTCCGAGGTCACGGGGCATGGAGCCCAGGCTGCCGCCTTCAGGCTCTCCACCGACCCTCTGGGGTATGCGCTAGGGTTACTTCCTCACTGTAGTCCAACAGATGAGATTTTTTTTTATCCTGAATAGACAACACTAACCATTTTTACAAGATGTTTATCACTGCTAAAGTTTTCTTTGTCTTTGAATAAACATCAGTACACTTGCAGAAGAAGACTCACTTTGGATGATGAATGAATCCTTTCAGCTCACCAGAAGGAATTAGGCCCTAAAGCCTCTGAAAGCACTGCCCCTTAGGTCTATGCCAGCCTCCACTCAGCCCTAGGGCTGGCCTTTCTACCTGATTTCACCCTTCCCCCCACCCCATCCTCCACACTGCTGCTAATACCTGTCGGAACCACAGGTCCAGTGATGTCGAGCCTCTTACTCATGCCCTTGCACAGGCTCGCCTCAATCCACCTTGCCAGTCTTACAGCTCATCTTCCACGCACTCTCTACGCAGACATTGTGGGAAACCTCTTCCCATTCCCAGAATGTATCTTACCTCATCTCATACGGATGCTTGCTTGGCTCATGCTTTTTCTTACACTTGGGATAATAATTGCAACAGGATTTGCCCACCAAATCCTTCTTACCATGTAAGGGTCGATGGAGACAGAATCCCAGAACAAGACGAGATGCTCTGACCTGTTTCCCCCACCTGCACTGCTACAGTACCTAACCCATAGCTGAAGATGCTTATTGCGGTCTTCTTTTCAGAGCTATCATCACTCCCAGACACCACAGCGCATCCTTACTGGCTCCTGTGTTCATCGTCTGCCCCTACAGTGAAGGCTCCAATAAGGCAGTGCCTTTAGTGTCAAGTCCAGGGCTGCAGGCCCAGTGCCTAGAAGAATGCCTGACATGGTGAAAGTGAAAGTGAAGTCACTCAGTCATGTCTGACTCTTTGCAACCCTGTGAACTATAACCTACCACGCTCCTTTGTCCATGGGATTTTCCAGACAAGAGTACTGAAGTGGGTTGCCATTTCCTTCTCCAGGGGATCTTCCTGACCCAGGGATCGAACCTGGGTCTCCCACATTGTAGGCAGACGATTTTACCATCTGAGCCACCAAGAAAGTCCCTGACATGGTAGGCACTCAATAAATACTTCCTGAGAGAATGAATCCACAATTAGTGTGTTTGCCTGTTGTCTTTCCTGTTCTGGTAAAAGACCTACTTTCTTTCCCTTTTAGAATTGCCTGTTCCCTTCCTGGCAGAGTTGTTTTTTCATCAGGTCCTGCCTGCTCTATCAGTTCCACCGGAGACCTGGTCTAAGGACTCAGGCTGGTGGGAATTGCATCAAAGTGAGCTTGGCTAGTTAGGGTATACATTTAGGATTTACTCTTGAACATCCCCTACATCATCTATCAGATATAGTATATGTGATTATACACATACACATGGACACGTGAAAATGCACAGAATGGACAGAATATGAAAAAGAGCGCACCTGTGAAATGGCCCTTGGCTTGGAGACAGTGAGCAGCATGGGCAGACAGAAGCACACCGATGATACAAGCACAGAGGGGAACTGCTTATCATTTAAATATGTGCTTGATGGAATGCCACTAAACCCCATTCCAGTTCATAGTGACTGGTCTAGGCATAGGCATGTGACCCAAGTAGATTTACTCTGAGCCTGTTTTTTTTTTATTAATTTTTTTGACGGATAATTGCTTTACAGAATTCTGCTGTTTTCTGTCAAACCTCAACATGAATCAGCCATAGGTATACATATATACCCTCCCTTTTGAAAATCCCTCCCTTCTCCCTCCCCATCCCTCCCGTCTAGGCTGATACAGAGCCCCTGTTTGAGTTTCCTGAGCCATAGAGCAAATTCCTGTTGGCTATCTATGTTACATATGGTCATGTAAGTTTCCACATTACTCTTTTCATACATCTCACCCTCTCCTCCCCTCTCCCCATGTCCATAAGTCTATTCTCTATGTCTGAGCCTGTTTTCAGGGGTTGATATGGACTTCAGAAAAGAGGGTCTCTCTCCCCAGACTCTGGACAATAAGTCTGGAGCTGTCAAGAAAACATCTTTGCTCCATAATTATGCCGACAGAAAAAACAAGAGGGCTGAGAATCACAGGGAGACGCACGATGGCCTTGTTTGAACTTGAGGGCATAGCTGAACATGAAACCAGCCTACCTGTAGACTTGGAAGTTCACATGTTGATCAATTTCCTTTTGGTTACGACTCACTAAAATAACCATGCCTGTAGCCAAGCTGACTCAGAGGAGCTCACTAACATGTCACTTTTCTTCTGCTTTACCTGGATAATCAGTCTTAAGGTATCTCACATTTTAGCTGCAAACTGTGTAGCTATTTCAGTTCAGTTCAGTCGTTCAGTCATGATCAACTCTTTGTAACCCCGTGGACTGCAACACGCCAGGCTTCCCTGTCCATCACCAACTCCCAGAGCTTGCTCAAACTCATGTCCTTAGAGTCGGTGATGCCATCCAACCATCTCATCCTCTGCTGTCCCCTTCTCCTCCTGCCTTCAATCCTTCCCAGCATCAGGGTCTTATCCAATGAGTCAGTTCTTTGCATCAGGTGGCCAAAGTATTGGAGCTTCAGCTTCAGCATCGATCCTTCCAATAAATATTCAGGTTGATTTCCTTTAGGATTGAAGGGTTTGATCTCCTTGCTGTTGTAGCTATTTACTGTTCCCTTATTTCTTCTTCACTGGGGGAGGATTTTTCTCTCAATTTTTCATAATGGAAAAGTGTTTAAACTTGGGGTGGTTTAAAAAAGAGGTTCAGGGAAAGAAAAGAATTTAAGATTCCCCACTCTCATCTATCTCACACTCGGGGCCCACCCTCCTACAGGGCAGCATCAGGTTTTTCCACCTAGTCCTGTAACATTAATACTTTAGGGGAAACCCAAGCCCATCTAAGAAATATTGGCCGCTATGGGAATCACAGAACAGGCCTATTTCCCACAGAGGAAGGGGCTGTCTGGAAGGCTGAGGAAAACCAGTGTGGCTCAAAGTTCAGCCGCTTCCCTGTGTGAGCTTCACAGCTGTGTTGTTGGGTCACCAGGAGCAGAGAGATCTGCCTGCAAAGATCGAGGAACTCAGCCCAGAGAGAACGTGGCCAAGCGTCTCAGACGGCTCAACTCCCAATTTCCATATTACCAGTATCTAAAACCAACACTGGGAGAAGGTAAAATAAAGTGTCTTCTTTTGAAGTCATAGTTGTAATATACTGGCCTACCAGGTAAATATTGACTAAAGGAAAAGAGAGAGGATTATTACATCATGATACAAACCATAATTTTAAATTCAGCCTGTGTGCTATTACTACACATGAACTTTCTGTCCTTAGTCAAAATTGACAAACTGACAAAGAGCTCATTACAGGAGATAAAACATGCGGGGGGCCAACCAAAACAGATTTGAGAGGCTTAAATTTCTCTCAGGATTCCCAGAAGAGCCTCTAAAACCAGTAAAGAGGAGCTCTCTTATTCTCTCCATTGGACCTTTTTTTATGGAAACCCTAAGTAAATATTTTATTACATATATTTACATAATGTGAACTTGCAGAACTCTTGAGTTTTTGTTCTATGAAAGAGAAAATATAAATCCAAAAGGTTATGTAGCACATGCTGCCAAAACATCTAGGACCAATTCGATGTTTCAAAAAGTACTGTCTTCCATATAAAAGTATTCCTTAATTTTTTTTTTTTTTACATTAAAAACTTTCATCTGCTGGGGCTAAGGTGAGTCCTGAGAGTTCTGAAGAGCTGCAGAAGCAGAGGATGGAAGAGTTCCCAAGGCCAGCCCCATGTGGCTCACTGTGCAGAGGGCTCCCAGACTTTCACGACTGCCCCTTTGGATGAACTTGAGTGAACACCAGAGCCACTCCACCCAATGAAAACGCTAACAGAACATGAGGCAGGGGCTTAAGGACCTTCTCTTCTAAGCTGGCCTCCCAGTCAGTTCAGCCACATCCCAACATGTCCCTGTCAGGCAGCCCGTGATAAACCCTCCAGAGTGGGGAGCTCACATCTTGAAGCCACTTGCTCTATTTCTGAGGAGCTCTGGTCGTGAGCAAGGGCTTCCTTACACAGACCCAGGATACACGGAAATGGAACCACAGGATTATTCCAGCATTGGGCATCTGTAAGAGAATCCCTCTGTTTAAGGCGCCCACAGTCTAATGGGGTTGGCAGACACGCTAATGTGGTGACAGTATGGGTGACCAGGGCTATGACAGGGGAAAGTTGCAAAAACTCATTCTGTGGGAGCGAGTTGAGCTCAAATCTGTTTCTACTTCACTGAGAACATGTGAAAGTGTTTTGTAATCTAGAACAACTACAGGAACGTAACGCTGACAATGATGATCATAAAAATGATAAGGATAGCGGTGACCATTTACTTAACATCTATTTTGTGCCAGGGGCTCCACACACATTCATGTAGCTTTGACAATAGCCATATAAACCGTGTTTCACAGATGAGTCATCTGAGGCTCAGAGAGGTTCCAGGTCACTTGTCCAAGGTTACCTGGCTAGTAACGCAATAAACCCTGGATTCAAAACTGGGTCAGATCCAGAGCCTCTGCTCCCTTTTATGACCGCCCCCGCCAGCAACCGCTGACGCAGTAACTCCAGGACGAGCCAACACAGCCCACGTTTCCATCTCTGGGTCACAGTTGGAAGTCCCTCTCTGTCTCTTCTCATTGAGCAGAAGCCACATTCTTGGCTCTGGACTCAGCAGTCCCATCAGGGACTTTTTCCAGTACTGCTCGCAGCCACATCCCTGCTCTCAGGGATCTCTTTAGCCTCTCATCACAGGGACTGACTACAGAACCACCTCTAAGCCATCAATTCCAGTCCTATTCAATTACAAGTCCCTGAGATTGA